ATCATTCTGTAATATACTAATATGCAGAAAATCAAAAAGCTCGAGAAACGTGAGAATATTTTCGATTTTTGGTGGTGTTTTTGAAAATTCAACGACATCCTAGCGAAAATAAAGATTAGAGAAGTCGAAGTTTTTAGGAGACGAAAATTGAGACAACGAAATGTAAAAAAAACATTATTAATTAAATGTCTTCTATTAAATATTTTCTTTACATTCTTTCGTCAACCTTACATTCAATTCGCTCCAATTTCTGCTAAAGCGAATGTTAAATGTAAATGATTGACTCACCAGATAACTTACTTTTTCATATCTTAATCGTATATCTTTTATAAAAAATTAAAATCAAAGGCCTATAAATTTTAAATAAAATTCTTCCAAAAATACCGCATTTCTTCAACCAATATGCTTTGCGATATTATGTTATACAAGAATCAACTTCTAATCTTCCTCCGTCATCTATAAATTATCATGAAATTTATTTCAATAACTCGAACATAAAATGTAGGCGTGAAAAGGCAATACATTTATGATTTCAAGTACACACTGTCCTCCTTGCATTATTACGTCACTCACGGCGATAATATAAGTGGTCTATGATCTCGACTCACATGATGATGACTAGTCGAGGCTAGTCTGACATAAATGAAAAATCACGTGAATATTTCTTATGATCGATAATATACTTGCAAACATAATTCCGCGCGCAGTGCGCCGTAATCGACAATGCACGTCGAATGTATCGGAATTCTGAGGATCGTGCTACAAGGTGAAGATAACGAGGGAAAGTGGAAAGAATAGAGAGGTAGAGACGCGTTAAAGTGAATCAGGCGAATTAACTAAGTCGACGAGGAGACCGCGAGTAAAGACAAATTAGAAAAAGAAAAGGAAATTATCACTAGAGAAGTAAAGGCGTATGAGTGTCAATTGTCTCTCGCGATCTAACGATCGATCCGATCGATTTGTTTGCGCCGTTTATTTGCGGCTTTGCGCCCGGACAGATTGCAAGAAATGAAGGAATGAGCGACGGCGAGCGTCGGTTAAACTTAACTTAGCTGCGGGCGAAGTCTCGTTCGTTCGTTTATTACATCGTAAGAATACTGGAGTAAGGCCGAATCGGCGCGAATCGGCGCGACTTGTCGGAGAATGGTTGTATATTGCCTTGAAATATCCCGACCCGCTATGATACAATCACCGTGATTATTATGTGCCTCTCGATCGTTGAGCAATCGGAATCGATAAAAAAACTGATCTCTCCCTCTTTCAGCTTCCCCAGAGCCCCCAGAGGAGATCTGCTTGCGAATTGTGATCCGAGAGGATATCTCGAACCTCGTAATCGCATTGATCGTGTCAACGGCCTCATGGGCCGATTCGACCGACAAATAGACTCTTGCTGCGATCACGAGGTTTGAAGTGTCATCTTGCAAACGAAATCACCGAGAGGGAGGGGGAGACGTCATAATATCGCATCATATACAGAACAAACATCAGACATGTCGCGAAGCTTATTGTTAGTAACGTAACGATGCTGAGAAACGAGTAAATTGTAGGGATCGCGATATTATCTATCTTTTTTTTCAATGATGCTATTTATGTAAACAATGAGCGCAGCGAACAGTTACAAAATAACGCTTAAAAGTTAATAATAATGTTGTTCACGCGAAGTCGAAAATGTATGAATGGAAATGACGGCTCTGTTATACTTTTCATTTAACTCTTCACTGGCAACATGAAATTAACTCTTTCCCAAAAGAGTCCGCTTTCACAAAAGAGAAGTGTTCTTATGAGCATGGTGCAGAACTTTTTTATCTACTCTCTCATCCAAAATACCATAGGGATAATTTTAATTTTATTATTAAGACATTCTTGAACAACGATTACTCTATTAATGTTATTTTTGATATGATCAAATTACAATTAAGGTCTCTTTGTTTGTTGTAGCGTAAGACGCTAAAACAAACAGACAAACCTAACAATGACAATAAAACAACTTCATGGTTTACCATTTCATTTTTTTACCTTACATTTTTGACAAATTTAAGAGCATCAAAAAGCATTAAAAATCTGAATGTCAAATTGTCCTTCTTCAATTTAAATAAACTTAACAGAATCATCAAAGCACAAAAAGACGTTCTTCCTCACGAGTCGAAAAAAAAGTGGTTTACAAGATTAATTGTAAAAATTGTAATGCTTCTTACATGGGACAAACGAGTTGTAAGTTAAATACTAGAATCAACGAAAAATGATTAATAAAAGAAACGATAATTTATCTATCATTTCCGAACATAGATTACATTAGATCATTTTGGATTGGAATTTGGATGAACATTAAAATTTTAAATAATAAGAGATATCTGAGTAAAAAATTAGTGTCCAAAATACTCAATATCAAATTGCAAGACAATGTTTAAATTTGAAATTAGACACAGAGTTCTTGCACCATGCTTATACGAACATAATAAATAAATAATAAATAAATTTTAATTCTTTTGATTGTCATAACTATACTTAAGTGTCTATCTACATTGTTTATCAATTTTATTCCTCTGTTATGGTCATTGTTGTTTCCGTTCTTATAATATTTATTTCTTAATGCTCATTTACGTGACTTTGCGTTGACATTGCAAACGTCATATTCTTACAAGAAATTTAATGTGATTTTATCCGTTTTATCAATTTTAATTTAATTTATTTTATATTGTACAGTTATGGCGTAATAAATCCCAAGCAGAACAACAAGTCACGATAACTCAGCAAATGAGAATGGATTAAAATGGATTGAAATTTTTTTGCGTATTTTAAATAGCAAATACTTTTTTTGGGATTTAATTGGATTCAATTGGATTCAATTAGATTTAATTGGATGCAATTGGATTGAAAAACTGCATTTCCTATTCAAAATTTTGAATTAAACAATATTCATAATGTTTGTTGCACAGAAAAAGCTAATATTATTTTTAAATTGAAAGACATAGAGATACACTCCTATAAATGAATAAAAATGCATTCAGTATTGAAAAGCATTCATTTTAACATTCGTGAATCAATATTTCTGAAAATCTGAATCCATTTCAATTCATTTCAATTCATTCTCGTTTGCTGGAAATATCAAAATGACATTAAAATAAATCGGAAATGATGATTGAAAAATTATTTTTAATAATCATTTTGACATAATTTTGATATCATAATGACTTGTTCTGCTTAGTCTTCATAAAATTTTGTTATCCTTTCTTTTTAGTAATTTTTTTTGAATGATATTATTTTTTATTTATCTCGCATTTATTTAAATAACTGGACGGTTACACACTCCAGATTTGGTAATTTGTAAGACTTCCTTGCTACACTTGATTTCTTGGATATTACAAATGTCGGATAGTTATCAAGAATTGTTATTATTTGAGATTGCTGAGGATGGCTCGAATTGAGTTGAATTCAGTTTTTATAGTTATGCAAGATATACGATTGAAATATATGTTTATAAGATAATCGCATCAATTACTGCGTATTAATGCTTTCAATTGCCCGTTTTTTCTTTATTTGTTTAATATCTCAAGAATCCAACGTTAATTATTCGCTCTTTTGTCTAGTCTAGCAATAAGGGTCTTCGAGAAACAGAAATAAACTTTTTATTATTTCGAATTATATAAAAATCTTAAAAAATTCTTGTATACTTGTTAAAACTCCAAGCAGAACAACAAGTCACGATAACGTCAAAATGATATTAAAATGAATCGGAAATGATTAAAAATGACTTTTAATATTCTATAATTTGGAGTCATCTTGACAACATTTTGATATCATAATGACTTGTTCTACTTAAGGCTTTAACAACGAGTTTTTACTTTCGTAACTTCTATCATAGAAGTCAGTTATTTACTATTTTTAGATTTAAATTTATCTCACCAGTTCGCACACAATCAAAATACTGATAAGGTCTTTAAAGATCCCAGTTATGTCGGCGGAAGAGTAAAATAGAATAAGTGCACAAATGGATACTATGGGAAGAGAAAGGAAAAAAAAAGGAAAATAGAATTCATTATGATAAAGAATAAACGAGGAATATTCTCGCGAGAATTGACCTCGCATACCTGTCGAGGAAAAAAATTAAATGGGGCAATACGCTATCTCATTAATAACAATACGTTCCCAGAATTCCGAAGAGAGTCTCAATAAGTCATATTTTCCATAATTATTCTAACCAACTTCCCGCTAACGTGGAAGTTTTCCGGACGCTTCCGCGAGAAATGCACCGACGTGATAATTTTCTTTTCTTTTTTTTTGTTCCATCGGATTCCTCTATCTAAATAACGATTATATCATACTTTCGAAAACGAAAGTACAACGTATGAAAGTCACGATTACGTAAGCGGCTAATATAAGTTGGTAGGTTCGTAAATTGTATAGGGTCACACCGTATATATGCGAGCCGCACTGAAACGTAAAGATCTTGACCAATACTATAAGATAAGCTATCAATTGTTCCTCTCCAAATCGGTTACAACTACGACATCCATTCATGTCAATCGTCATCGTTTTTCATACTTTTGATAAGAAACGCGGTATTCTCCTCGCCTACTTTCTGTTTATTTAAATCGAAGATTTCTTTCTTGAGAATTTCTCTTCTTATTCTATTGCAGGTATAAAATTGCCGCGCGTTTTTATTCAGTAAAGTGAGCGGATCGAAGTGTTTGCAACATTGTTTAGATTGTTTAAGATAGTTATCTATTCCGATAATAAAATGATTTTACGAACAATTTGCACTTGTACATAAATAAATAAATAAGTAGAAATGATTATAGAATTTTGTTATCTACTGTCGTTTCTTATATATATATTTTTTAA